TCCGGTCCGGTCTGCATATGTTCACCGGTAACCGGTGACCGGCCGGTACCGGTTATGATTTTGTTGACCGGTTGCATCTCTGCTGTAGATACAAGGACTCGTGAATAAGTGGACATACTTCATATAACAGAAACTGGTGTTGAGGTAGCAAAAATAACTCGAGCTATTTCCTTCGACTTCAAAGCACTCGAATTGTTCTAGCACTCCGGACATCCGTATATAGTCAGACAGGAAGGAGTGTCCAACAGGATGTTACACTAGTTTTAATCCTAGTACTGCGATAGAACTTACCTTAGTGAATCGTAATAAGCTTTATGCTCGATTAAACTGAGAGGTGTCCCAAGGTTTAATCTTGGAACCTCTTCTCTCCTTAGTTTTTATTGATAACATCGTTCTGAATCTCAAAGCATTTGCTGATGATGTTTTCGTGCATTCAAAAAGCTCATCATTATGCACTTTGACAACTGATTTAAATGCAGACTTGTCCTTCGTCTAAGTTCTGGCGACTTGGCTTAAGCATTAGAAGGTGTGAGCCGATGACTTTCTCCAAACATCTAGTATATACATTAAAATATCCTCTTGTTATCACCAAAATAACTTTGCCTGCTGTGCCGCATCACACGAAGCTAGGAGTTTATTTGACGTCCAATTGAGAATAGTATACATATATAGAGCATGTCAAGAACCGTTGTAGGGTCAAATTCCTTTTTTAACGTAGTAAAGAGATGCACACATTAGGAGACTCGTCTCTCCCACAATAAAAGGCCCCTCTTTGAATGTACATCCTCCAAAAAGTAAAAACGTTGCCTTTTCTCCGAGCGGAAATTAAAAACTGTTTTCGTTATTTTTGGTCGCACACCTCTCCCCCCCCCTCCCAAAATTGCCTTCCTATTTACGGCCCTGCTTCTGACATGGTCGTAAATAGTGCTTGTCTAGCCAAGCGCAATAATAAAAGATCTCGCTGTTGCTGAGCGTATTCAACATAAATTTGTGCTGGTTGTTAGTGCTTGTCTGAAATCAACATCACATTAAAGAGTTTTAGGTATTTTAGACTCTCTAAAGTACCTAAATGGAAAAAGGGTAAATTCACTGCTCGAGATACAGTCTTGCAGACATAATGTGGGCAAAATTTAAAGTTTTGAATGGAGGATAGTGTTATTCCATTATACATTGTCGGCTTGGAACTCAGACTGGTTCTGTGAAAGAGAGTAATGTCAAAGATCTATGTATAAACTACAAGTGAGAAAAAAAAGATATTAACAAGCTTTCTGATTGTTGATGTTGAAGAACGCATTCGTTATGTGAAAGATCGACTATGAATGAGTGATGTTAGTTATTTATGAGAAAAAATATCAGTTCAAGAGTGAGTCTGGAACGATCGAGTTCATTCAGAGTGGAGTCTGCTGGGACAGGAGCGACGGAGATACATGTTGATCTCAAAACGATACTGGGATGCCTGATTTGCCTACTCAAAGAGTAGAGATTTCTCGGTAGAGACCAGGCTTAGAAATGTCCTAGGAAATATTTTATTGTGAGTTTCGTGACAGTATGTAAAATGCACTAAGTTTTCCGAAAATATGATCGTTTTCAAAATCTAAACTAGAGAGGATGAAGCTTGATGCAGAAACATAGGCAATGAAATACTTCACAAAGTGATGTATGACTGGTCTTAGTGGCCAGTTGTCGATGGAGAAACCTATCTTTTTTATCAGCTGGTATCTGGAGTCTTTTTTATCAGCATAGATCTGATTTTTGTATGCCTTTTGTCATTGTATTGCATCGACTACAATAAAAATCATCGTCTAATAAATCTCCTTTGAGAAAATCTTCCACTAAAATTTCAAATGTCATTAATGATGAATCCGCGCCATCTACGTGTAGTAATGGTACTGAAAGAAATATAGTTGTCTCCATATTTGAATCGCTTAACTTACATTTATCACATAAAACAGATGACTGAATATTTATCAAAAAAAGTTGGTTTATAATTGATGATTCTGTTGAATTATGTTTAATAATGAATTCATAAATTCTTATGAATCTTTCTGTTGATAATCTGCAAATATTGAAGCTTGTTGACGAATAGTATGTTTTAATTGTCTGGGAATCACACACACTGATTGCCTTGACCACAAGTGTTTAACTAAACTATTATAAACGTTTGATGCTATATTTCTTTCTATTCATGATTATATTTAAATTTAAGAAACAATTAATTAACGGTGGATGTGCAATGAGACACTGAAGTGCCTTATTCATGTAACATGTATTATCTAAGAACTTAAGTGCAATTGCGGCTGAAACACCCTTAACCTGATTAAGCATAATTAAAAGTTTCTTTATAAAGAAATACACAATGTTATTCATGTATTATCTATATTTATTAATCCACAGAAACCTATCTTGTCTTTCTTGTGAATCGTATCAGTTCTGCTATGTTTTTATTCCACGTTAATCAATGGTTTTTGTATTCGTGCTGGTGATACAAATGCAGTGGATGTTATTTGCAATAAATTCTTCGATGTCGACAATAAACTCGAACAGAATGAATAAAATAATAATTTGTAACTTATATCTTTGTTGAGTGATAAATGGATAATTCGTGTAAATATAACACAAATGAGTTCAAAGTTTAAAAGGAAAAATGTGTCTTCATTTACCTATTGCTAAATGTCGGTTAAATGAATTAGAGGAATTATTAAATAACTTAAGGAGCTTAATTAAATAACTTTTAGTATCAAGAAGACGAAGAAATTTTGTCGTTATTGTACTAAATTCTGCGGATTTAAAACAACACTATGTACAATGGCTCAATTATCATAGGAATTTTTTCGGTTTTTGACACTTACTCAGTATTTTGCATTTTCCACCATGAGGAGCTCAGATCGAAATAAAAAGACGAGTTTCGTGATCCTCGCGTCTTGAGGAATCACAATATATATAATAAATAACGTGAATCGCATCGATTCACTAGGTCCATTGCCTGTAAGTCCACTGAGTGTACTCTCGGAATTATTATTCGTTCTGCTGTAAATCGATCTTGCTACTACAGAATTGATGCATATTTTTCGCGATGAGAACGTCCATATTTTCCATCTTAGTTTACAGAACCACTTGGTTTAGCTTTTCACCGGTGAGAAACACTTATCAGAATTGCTATAGTTCATCGAGACCCTGGAATTTGATTTAGTTTTATCTGTCGTACAGATGTTCAAAATGGACGTAATATTACCAAATCTATCAGTCTTCTTACCCTTGATAAAGAAACCTAAGTGGGGGCAAAGTTGAGGGTGAGGGTGAACGATTAATAATTCCGAGAGTACACTCAGTGGACTTACAGGCAATGGACCTAGTGAATCGATGCGATTCACGTTATTTATTATATATATTATGATTCCTCAATACGCGAGGATCACGAAACTCGCCTTTTTATTTCGATCTGAGCCTTTCCTCATGGTGAAAAATGCAAAATACTGAGTAAGTGTCAAAAACCGAAAAAATTCCTATGATAATTGAGCCATTGTACATAGTGTTGTGTTATTTAAAACAACACTAGTGTTGTTCCGTCATAGATGGTACCACTTACTCTTCTTGTAGAACTCTGTTTCGATCGAAAATAGAGAAATCAGACATCCGTTCGGAAAATCGGGAATACAAACTTCATAAGATACACCATTGTATATATTACATCACAGATTATGTTACATCATGGTTTTCTGTTACGTTCTTTCTTTCTTTCCTTTTTTCTGGTCTGTATATACGATCGGAAAAAAATAGTTAGATATTCTGTATTTAGAGCATTTCGTCACTATAAGAACATATTCTTTTAAAAGTAACTACATATTCTGAAAGCCCGTGCCGTTTTCTACAACCCTGTGTATTTACGTTTTCATTTCAACTTATGAATTATCGAAAAATATTGAGCGCAATGAAGGCATCCTCATATTTAGATTCCCAGAGACTGGAGTTTTTCGTTGTTTTCAAAACTAGGTTTTTGAAGTTTCTGCACTATAGAATTATTTTAAAAAAAGCTATTATGCATTCTGATAGAGCTTGAAATTCTCTATCTTTCTGTATATTTATGTACCTCCTTGCATTCATCTATTAAGAAGATAATCGGAATACAATGTACACAATCCCACTTGACAACTACGAAAAATCGACAGTTTTTTGTTCTTTTTCCTGTTTTTTTTAAAATTATTGTGCTCAAAGGAGTGAGTCATACGAGAAAAAGGTATACAATCGACAGCACATGAAGTCCTCTGTGTCATATGTATCGTACAGAGATACTTCTTAATACAAAATTTCATAAAAATTCATTGTATATTATGAATCGCCGACAGATAAACGATGATTCATTACTAATGACTTGTACTAAATGTGAAAAAGAATGACAACATATGTGATTCACGTGCTAATGGCTGTCTTTATTCAAACGGATGTGACAGAGTTAGAAATGTTTTCTTCAGGACAGGAAGAAGGAGAAAAAATGACAGAATGTATACCGTCTGGAAGTCTTTCAAAAGGGCAGTAAAAAAATACTTACTTCATAATATACACTGAACTTTTATGAAATTTTATATTAAGAAGTATCTCTGCTGAGAATCGGTGAAACTAATAGAGCAGAACAATATCGGCGGATATTGATTGAGGATACTTAACATAATGATCCATCAGTTGCAACAACATATAATAACATTGCAACCGTCTATAAAGCACAGAGTGATTATGAGAAACCATTGAAGTACTATGAAAGTGCTCTTCAAATCTGCTTGACTTTACTTCCACCAAATCATCCATCAATTGCAACAACATCTACTAACATGTAGATATGTTAAATCATTAATTAACAAACTGTTATACATATCTGACAGTGTAATTATGAATTAAATTCGAAAATTATTTTATTTCGTTGCGTATATAAACGTCATCGTGGAACATTTACTGCAAAATTAATAATAAGAGCACTGGAAACATTTCAGATAGATTCAAAAATTGTGATGTTTGTTGGAGATGGAGCATCGAACATGAAAACGGCCAGTGCTGCAATGATATATGAAAAAAACTGGTGTCTGGGGCATTTATTGAATTTAAGTATTCATAATGGATTAGGATTATGGGTTCGGAAATCGAACGAGAAGAAGAAAAAGAAAGAAAACCAAGCTCAAACATACGATCGCGATGGTGGTAGTTCAGAGGTCAGCGAAGGGGAAGAAAATGAAGAAGCTAGTATGGACACTAGCTCAGACAACGATGGAGATGGAACGGATATAGACAATGATGATGATGGCGAAGAGCAGAATAGTCACATTTTAGGTAAGTCGTGTCATATAGCTGAGAAAAATTGATCTTTTGATACTCAAACTTTTCGATAAGCTAACTATCTCTTTGTCCTTTAGAATTTGTAACTGAATCAGAAGAAGAATCACAATCAGATGATAAAACCACTGGAAATAACTACAGCAGCGAATACAACGGCGATCAAAGTTCGTGTCGGCGATGTATTGAATAAATGTCGAGCCATCAGTAGAAAAATTCGAAAATTAACGGCGAGAAAATCGAGTACGATACTCACCTTTTGGTGGATTTTGTTATGCATTTTTCCTTTCGCTTCTGTAAAGATTTGTTTGAAATCATCTTCGAGTTTTTTTATCACGGTTTTGTCTAATGTTGACACGGTAAGATGTATGGTTGGGCGGCGGATTTTCGGAAAACGGTCGTGCAGAAACGGTTATTCGGGGGATCTTTAAGAACTGTCACGTCCAAATAGTCAACTGAGTCTCCGGTCTCGTAGGTTAGTCGTATGTGCGGATCTTTAGAATCAAGTTTTATGAGAATGTCAACAAAGTCAAAAAGGAGTCGTTTTGTAGTCAGGTGATCAGGCGTTTTGTAGTTTGCATTGCTAGAATGCCACTTTCCCACTCCATCATATAAACATCGGCTAATACTTGAATCACTGCTGACCCCATCGCACCACCTTTAATCTGTTTGTAATAGTTTTTGCCTAATGCGAAAACTGCATTGTTGAGTATGAAACGTAACAATCTAGCAATGGTGTCGGTTGGCACTCTCGATGGTACAGTAGTTAATATTAGCTCACCAACCACTTGGAGGGCTGCGCGATTACAATTACAAAATGTGAAGTTCATGCATTGCTATTATCTGTAGAATTAAGAATTCTAGAATTCTGAACTTTACATACATGTAAAGTTGCTTATTCACACTCATCCTCACCCTCACCCCCACATTCACCCCTAGAATTCAGAATTTTAGAAAATTCTGAACAAGTAAAGTTCAACTTTACATACGGCGATGATCAGTCTGGCCGGAAGACCTTTAGCTTTTTTTCCATAAAATCTTAATAGTACATTCGGAAGACATGATTTTTTTATCATTTATAGTACTCATCTAGAGTGAACGATTTACCATCATTTCGACCATATACCTTGTATAAAATCAATATAACGAAGGATATGTTCGAAGCTCCGTAGCTAACTTTGAGACAAGTTATTTTAAAATTTAATAATACATATGAAATTTGCTTTTTAACCATAGGATGTCGAATATAAAAAGATATTTGCTTCATTTTTCAAACGAATAGAAGATATTTACGTATCGCTTGCACTATGTCAATTTGTCCATAGATCAGTATTTCAATGAAGCGCTGCATAGCATGCGCAAAAAGGAAATTAGATATCACTATCTTCTTATATTCTTTCTTATATCTGTCTTATATTTCATACACACTTTCCGGTAGAAGCGGAAAGTCAGAAAGTCAGAAAAGAGCATTTACCGGTGTATGTTGATATATGTATGGGTATTTTCCAGTGGACGCAGAAAATCAGAAAGTCAGAAAAGAGCATTTACCAGTGTATATTGATATATACATACACACTTTCCGGCAGAAGCGGAAAGTCAGAAAGTCAGAAAAGAGCATTTACCAGTGTATATTGATATATACATACACACTTTCCGGCAGAAGCGGAAAGTCAGAAAGTCAGAAAAGAGCATTTACCAGTGTATATTGATATATGTATGGATATTTTCCGGTAGACGCAGAAAATCAGAAAGTTAGAAAAGAGGCTTTACCAGTATATATCATTAGTGTGGACAAACTGTTTAAAGACGAATTGACGAATCGCAGTTTTTGAGCGTAAAAATGATGGAATAATTCGCATTTTACCATTGTTTTGCGAATTCGTAATTCAGTGCGAACTGATGCGAACTAACAAAAATGATTAAAAATGAACCAAAAAGGTGCCTCTTTTGTTCCTTTTGAGAATTCGTAAATTGGGTCGAATTTGTAGGGAAGAAATTTCGGGTACCCACGAATTCGTAAATCGAATTGGTCTTCCATCG